TAAAAGTTTAGAGTGGAAATAAATGAAAAAAATATGTATCAGTGAAACGAAGAGCTAGTTCTTTGAGAAGATAAACACAATTGATAAACCTTTAGCCAGCCAGACTCCTCAAGAAAGAGCAAGTAATAAATAAAATCAGAAATGGAGAAATAACCACCAACACCACAGAAATACAAAGAATTATAAAAGAATACTATGAAAAATTATGTAACAAATTGGAGAACCTAGAAGAGATGGATAAATTCCTAGAAACATACAATCTGCCAAAACTGAATCAAGAAGAAATAGAAAATTTGAACAGACCAATTATTAGTAACAAAATTAAATCTGTAATCAAAAAACTCCCCAACAAAAGTCCAGAACCAGATGGCTTCACAGGTGAACTCTACCTAACATTTAAAGAAGAATTCATACCTATTCTTCTCAAACTATTCCAAAAAAGAGAAGAGGAAGGCAAGGCCAGCTTTACCTTGGGCCAATATCCTTGATGAACACAGATGCAAACATCTTCAACACATATTACCAAACCAAATTCAATAGTATGTTAAAAGGACCATTCACCATGATCAAGTGGGATTTATTCCTGGGATTCAAAAGTGGTTCAATATTCTCAAATCAATGTGATCTATCACATTAACAAGAAGGATAAAAACCATATGATCATCTCAAGAGATCTAGAAAAAGGATTTGATATAATATTTGTTCGTGATAAAAACTCTCAATAAAGCGAATTTAGAGGAACCATACCTCAACATGGTAAAGGCCTTCTATGAAAAACCCACAGCTAACATCATTCTCAATGGGGAAAAAACAGAGCTTTTCTCCCTAAGGTCAGAAACAAGACATGGATGTCCACTCCCACCACTTTTATTCAACAGAGTACTGGAAGTCCTAGCTGCAGCTATCAGATAAGAAATAAAAGCATCCAAACTAGTAAGAAGTAAAATGGTCACCATCTGCAGATGACATGATTTAACTATACATAGAAAACCCTAAAGACTACCAAAAAAAAGCTATTAGAATAAAGGAATTCAGTGAAGTTGCAGGATACAAAATTAGCATGTAGGCATTTCTATATATTCACAATAACCTAGCAAAAAGAAAAATTAAGAAAACAATCTCATTCACAATTGTACCAAAAAGAATAAAGTATCTATAGTTTAATCAAGGACGTAAAAGACCTATGCCCTGAAAACCGTAAGATACTGATGAAAGAAAACTGAATGTGATGCAAACAAATGAAAGATATTCTGTGCTCATGGATTGGAAGGATTAATATTGTGAAAATGTCCATATTACCCAAAGCAAACTACAGATTAATGCAATCCCTGTCAAAATACCAACGTCATTTTTCACAGAACTAGAACAAACAATCCTAAAATTTGTAATGGAATCACAAAAGACCCCAAATAGCCAAAGAAATCTTGAGAAAGGAGAACAAAACTGGAGGTATCACAATCCCAGATTTCAAAGATATACTACAAAGCTGTAGTAATTAAAACATTTGGTACTGGCACAAAAACAGACACATAGATCAATGGAATGGAATAGAGAGCCCAGAAATAAACCCTCACTTGGTCAATTAGTCTGTGACAAGAGAGTCATAATACACAACAAGGAAAAGACAGTGTCTTCAAGAAATGATGCTGGGAAAACTGGACAGCAACATGCAGAAGAATGAAACTGGGCCATTTTCTCAAACCAAACACAAAAAATAAAATAAAGACTAAATGTAAGACCTGAAACCATAAAAATTCTAGAAGAAAATATAGGTAGTCATCTCTTGGACATTGGCCTTAGCAACATATTTAATATGTCTCCTGAGGCAAAAGAAACAAAAAAATAAACTACTGGAACTATACCAAAATAGTAAGATTTTGCACAGAAAAAAAAAAACAACTCAATCGAACAAAGTAACTTACTGAATGGAAGAAGATATTTTCAAATGATACACTAATAAAAGTTTAATATCCAAACTATATAAAGAACTTCTAAAAGTTTAATATCCAAACTATATAAAGAACTTCTACAACTGCATGCGCGCGCACACACACACACACAACACCTGAACAATCTCATGAAGAAATAGACAGATGGGGGTGCCTGGGTGGCTCAGTCGTTAAGCGTCTGCCTTCGGCTCAGGTTATGATCCCAGGGTCCTGGGATGGAGCCTCACATCGGGCTCCCTGCTCAGCAGGAAGCCTGCTTCTCTCTCTCCCACTCCCCCTGCTTGTGTTCTTGCTCTCGCTATCTCTCTGTCATATAAATGAATAAAATCTTTAAAAAAAAGAAATAGATGACTTAACGTTTTTCCAAAGACCACCTACAGATGGCCAATACACATATGAAAAAATGCTCAACATTACTAATCAGTGGGGAAATGCAAATCAAAACCACAATGAGATTATCATCTTAACACCTGTCAGAATGGCTAGATCAAAAAGACAAGAAGTGTTGATGATGTGGAGAAAAAGGAACCCTTGTGCACCATTGGTGGGTATGTAAATTGGTGCAGGCACTGTGGGAAACAGTAAGGAGGTTCCTCAAAAAATTAAAAATAGAAATACCATACGATCTAGTAATTCCACTGCTGGGTATTTACCCAAGAAAACAAGAGCACTAATTAAAAAAGATATATGCACCTGATGTTTACTGCAGCATTATTTACAGTAGCCAAACTATAGAAACAGTCCAGGCGTCCATAGCTATGTGAATGGATAAAGGACATGTGATTACACACACACACACACACACACACACACACACGACTATTACTCAGGCATAAAAAAGAATGAAATCTCAGCATTTGTGACTGACAACATGGATGGACCTAGAGGGTATTATGCTAAATGAAGTAAGTCAGAGAAAGACAAATACTGTATGATTTCACTTATATATGGAATCTAAGAAATACATGAACAGACTTCTTTAATACAGAGAAGAAACTGGTGGTTGCCAGAGGGAAGGTGGAGGGTAGGGAGATCAGCAAAACAGGTGAAGGGGATTTAGAGGTACAAGCTTCCAGTAGTAAGTCAGGGAAATAACAAGTACAGCATGTGAGATACAGTGAATAATATTGTGGTAACACATGGTGATGGGTGGTGACCACCCTTATCGTGGTGAGCACTGAGTAACGTGCAGAATTGTTGAATCGCTGTGTTGTACGTATGTAATGTAGCATTATCAACTACACTTTAATAATAAAATAAGAATAGGAAAAAAGTATCAGGGCAATAATGACCACCAGTGTGAGGTCAGCTTACTTCTGACAGTTCTTATAAATACATACACTGATTTTCTCAGCTTTATGCACTTTTCTCTTTGTGTTAAGTCAAAGGTTTCAAAGAGCAGTCACCTCTGGATATAGTAACAAAAGATAATCCTAGAACCAACAAAATTCAGACCTCAACGAGTCCAGAAGTCCCCAAAGAGCAGGTGGACGAGGAAGAAAGAGACACTATAACAAGTCCCACATACAGAGATATAAAGTACATCATGAAAGGGGATCTGACAGTATCATAAAAGGTGAGATATCCCGACCCTTGTAAATTGAAAGTGAAGTATAAGCACTCAGGGCACTTAGTCATTTCCAATGATGCTATCAGTAGCTGCATCAGGACCAATGCGGAGGGGAAGGATCGGTGTCCGGTCCACGTTTCAAATTAAGTTAATGATACAAGCGTGACTCTCTCTACTACAAAATCGCTCTGCACACACTCTGGATTGATTGTTCGCATGATGAATTAGGCAGGTTCTTGCTTCTCCTCCTCATCCTTGGCTACCTTCCACCACGGTCAATGAAGATAATCAAACACTGTTCAACTGCCAAGTCGGAAAGTTGAAACTAATGTCTACAAGTGGTTTTGAGGACAGGATGGATTTCAGTTATCTCACCATCCTGTTTTCCATACTGAACTGTCAAAACTTAATGGTAATAATTTGATCCAATTCTGATGTCACCAAGGAATATTAATCGCTCTTATCCAAAGTATTAAGAATCACCTTTGCACAAAGCATTATTTAGCCTAGAACCAGAAATAGTGTATAGGGTCAGAATAGGACCAATTTGAGGATAGGTACAGGAAAGCCATCAGATAGTCTTAACCAAGAATACAGTAGGAGGAGACATCAGACAAGCATCTCAGAGCGGACTTCTGAATAAACATTTCCTGCTCCTTGTGCTGATGCAATTTTTCTATGACACAGTCAAGAGGTGAAAAATTTATCTCAGGCATGACCTTTTTAAAAACAAAAAGCTCGGGGCGCCTGGGTGGCTCAGTTGGTTAAAGCGACTGCCTTCGGCTCAGGTCATGATCCTGGAGTCCCGGGATCGAGTCCCGCATCGGGCTCCCTGCTCAGCGGCGAGTCTGCTTCTCCCTCTCCCGCTCCCCCCTCTTGTGCTCTCTCACTCTCTCTCTCTCAAATAAATAAATAAAATCTTTAAAAAAAAATAAAAAATAAAAAAAATAAAAACAAAAAGCTGTACCATTTTAATTCTTCCTCAATTTTTCAAATTTTGATTCATCATTCGATTATTCCAGTGATACTATTTAAATGATAATATATATCATTACATATAAATTATATATGTTAGTTTAATATCCAAACTATATAAATCATCATTCGATTATTCCAGTGATACTATTTAAATGATAATATATATCATTACATATAAATTATATATGTTTTATACATATAAAAATATAATAGTATTGAAATATTTTAATTGTATAATGTATGTAATATATAATATGCATATGTTCAAGTATAAATTATATATAATATGTAAGTATACATAATATATATTCAAGTATATATTATATACCTATGTTCAAGTAGCACTGGAGGGGACATACACCTTTTGTAACGCCAAATATTAATGTTTTATGAAGACAAAAAGGACTGAAAATTATTGCCTAAGTATCTGTTAGGACCTTTATTTTGGCACCTATGGAAGAGAGTTAATGCACAAGGAATAAGAGAAATATTAAACTTTATACCTCTTTGTAGTTAACTCTCCCATCCTGAAGGTGGAGAAACTCCAGAGCTCTGTGTCCTGAGAGAAATATATAAATCAATTAAATCAACTGTAGCTAAAACAGAACTTATTCAAGACGTTTTAAAAGGAAAATTGGGGCATATGGGTGATGCAGTCGGTTGGGTGTAGACTCTTGGTTTCATCTCAGGTTGTGATCTCAGGGTCCTGGGATCGAGCCCCGAGTCAGGCTCCATGCTCAGCATGGAGTCTGCTTAAAACTCTCTTTCCCTCTCCCTCTGTCCCTCCGCCTGCTCATGCATGCACGCGCACTCACTCTCTGTAATAATCTTTAAAAAACTAAAATAAAAAAAATTTTAAAAAAGGAAAATATAATTTTGTCATTGTAACTGTCAAGGAAGGGGGAAATGAAAATTAAGTGTGTACTCACTAGTCATTTTCATTAGGCATAGTAAGATTCATACGATAGTTATATCACTAAAAAATACAAATCAAATTTGCATGGTGATTTGAAGTTTCTGCTTAGCTGGCACCATGGCCCTGCAAAGCTAGGTCTCCGTTCCCTCCTAAGTAGAAGTAAATAATTCCCACATTTACAGGTGTGTTCACAGAGTCACACAAAATACATGTGATGTGATGAGCACAGTGGCTGATAAACGGTAGGAGCTCAGTAAACAGAAATGTCATCTTATTTTGCCTCAACACCCACCCCCAACCGAGATAAATGACCCTAAGCAGAAAATAGGATACATGGCCAAAACCATGGACTGAATCAATTACTCTCGAATGTTTTTTCATCAGTTGGGCCACATTAGATGGACCAAAAAAAAAAAAAAATCCCATGTTACCTGTTCCACCCACTTGCAGGGACACACACACACACATCCACACCCTGAATCTTCCTAGAATCTAAGACGAACATGCCTTGTGAAGTCACATTCAAAGGGGATACCTTACTTCTGTTGTGAATCACATCCAGTTTTGTAATTCATACAAAAATACAGCCACTCCTCTAAGCATAACACTGTAAGATACGGGCTCCCAGCCCACATCAGTAACCTGGACACAGGATTGCTGGGATTTACAGCTCCAAACCACCGAACGAGACCCGTTCTAATTAACTCACAGAACTGTCAGCCTTCCAACAGGCTTTACATTAAGTGAAAACATGAACCAAGAGATTTACAGAATCCTAAATAATTGGTAAATGTTGGAGTTTTTTCTTTCACATAAGACTCCTCAAAATCTATGCAGGTTAGAAGTGGTCTTCAATTATGTTCACATAAACAAAGTTTTATATTAATATATTTAATATCTTATATATTTATGATATATAAATATAATAGATAATACAATGTATGCATATATTTAATATATTTTATTATATTTCTATTTAATATTAATATTTTATATAATGTATTGATATATTTAATGTTATATTAATAGATTAATATATACAAAACATATATTCATATATGTTTAATCTATTAGGATCTTTGGTACCTACTGAAAAAAGGCAAGCAGTTATCCGATTTTATTAAAACTTCATATTTCATCTGTGTTTAAACTAAGGATTAAAAACTCTCCATTTATACTTATTCTTGAATATTTCCATTTACACTTGTTCTTTCTCAGCCTACAGTTCTAGCAATTTCAATTTCTAAGAATTTACACCTGGACAATACTTTCAAATTCACTGAGACGTTCAGCTTCCTTACTTTACAGAAGAGGAACGCAGAGAAAATGAATTGCTCTGACTCACGTACTTCATTTACAGCTGAGCCGGTATTAGAACCTGGGTCTAATTCTCTCTTCTATTGTTTCCTGACTGCTCGTAGCAATAAATGTATTTGGAAAGAACACTGGACTGGCTCTCAGGACATGCAATCCTAGGCCAGCCCTCTAATGAGCTAGCTTTGAGATTCTCCAGATCGATTTCCTTGCATGTGAAATACAGGGACTGAGCTCAGTGACCTCTAGTGCCCTTTCAGAAGGCAAAATTCTGGGATCATAGGTTCTTGTCCACCAGAACTCAATAAATACCTCGGTCTACCTGGCACTGATAAGCTTACACACTTTATTTGTAATCTTGTTATGATTGGTACCTTCTGGCCAGGTGGCCTGACTATAAAATATTATTGATTTTATCTAAAAGAAAACCCAGATTTAATCGGAAAACTGTTGTAGAATATAATCCTATTCCATGAGTTAAAAAATATTACAAATACACTTCATTCAAGAACCAAATCCACCTGTATCTGGCACTCTGCCCTCACCCCCGAGCCCGTCCTCCCCAGCTCCTGTCATCGTCCCGGTCCCCTCTAATGCCAGTAGCCAGACGCCCTCGCTTCCTTGCCGTCCCTGGGGCCAACCACTTGACTCAGGGGACCCACTTCCATGGCCACAAGTGGCCCTGTACACATACTTGGAAATCTAAAACAACAAAAACAACATTCCTCACTCCTACTGAGTTCCACCCATCTTCCTCCTCTCCCATTCTATCAGTTCTGCCTCACGGCAACCGCGAGTGTCTCCAGCTCCTCACTGTTTGCCCACCCAGAGAAACAGCCAGGGGCCGATCATCAAGCACCCATCATTCCCTTGCCTCCTGCCCGCCCCTCCACGGAACCCACCTGACTCCAGTCCAGGGAACTTGTTACCAATAGGTGGGACCGACTTCACATCTCTTCCTTAACACCCTTTGACAGACTTAGCATCCCTAATCCCAGGCAAGGTGCAGGCACTTACCTATCTCGATGTGTGTGGAGATGCCACATGGCGAACCCCCTGGGCAGACGGAGCCCAGTGCGATCAGCAGCCCAGGCCAGAACCTGCAAAGGGACATGCCCTCATTACTCGCTGCTCCTCGGTGACACGAAGTGCTCAGAACTGCGGCGGCAGGTCCTGAAACCCAGGCCCAGACCTACGGCTTTCCCTCTAAGCAGGTCACTGCAACCAAGCCTCATTTCAAAATAATAACACTTCCCGATCAACTGTTTAACTACTGTTTAACTTCACCAGAACAGCGAACAAACTCCATCTGGGAGAGGGGGAAAAAAAAAAAAGCCATCAACTGAAATTTGAATGCTCTTAGCGGGGAGCATGGCCACTTTGTGATCCAGGTGTCCTCCAGATTTCTTGTTAACACGAAATTTGTATGGTCACCTTAGCAAAGTTGTCTCCATTTCGCTTTCTTCAAAAAAGACACAGACTCACCTGTCTAGACTGGGGGTCCACATGCTGGACCACCTCAGCTCACAAGGGCATCCTTTGCACACCTGTATCAGGGGCCCCCGAGTCCTCAGCCTCTGAAGCCCCAAGTGCTGGGAGAGCTTTTATGACGATCAGCTGGAGCTGGCTTCTCTTTCAGTATTTGGCAACAGATACTGACATTTGCATGGGATTACACAAGAGCAAGCACTCCTGGTCTATCTGCTTCTGGCTTATGGGGCTTATCTCAAGTCTGTTGCATGGTCAGATCCCTGCACCCCAAGCAAAGATGCTGATTCCACTGGGGGCGGGAGATACGGGACAGATTTAAGACCAAGAAACAAGGATTCAGAAAATGCTAGGCTCAGAATATTACCTGTCAAGAAGTATCTGGTCTGTAGCACTTAATCCATGGGAAAAACTCGGTGAAGCTCTTCGTGGAAAAGGTGGTAATCTTACAGCTCAAATTATGCATATTGTAAGTGAAAAGCAAGAAAGGGGATCCTGAAAGAGTGGGAGGAAACTGTACTCATGCTCAGGTGAGCAAATGGAAGAGAAGAATAGGAGAAGATGGGATGGTTGAGACCCTTAGGTCTCTGTCAAGTTTCCTCTGTAACCGTAGCTTAGCCACCTGCAAGCTCCAAAGAAAAGAAAGCCACAGCTCTCCCCGAATCCTGAGGGCATTGGGCCCCGCTGCTCCTGACTGCTTTTAGGCCAGAGGCCATGAACCTTGGCTAAGGTGCTCTCTATACATAGGCCTCATCTCCCCCGTACTGCAAGTGGGGGAGCAGATGGAGAAGGGAGGGCGTACTGTCCGAAACAGAACCTTACGGAGATTAAGCGGACTGACTGTGGATCAAGAGAGGCCTGCCACGGTCGTGCCAACAGTAGGGCTCCCTCTGCAGGCAGCAGGTGGAAAGACGCCAGGGATACCCGCCGGGCGGCAGTCTCCACTCCAGGACCTCCTCTCTTCCCCCAATTCCTCCGGTAGAATACAGGAGGAAACAGCAAATACACACACACACACACACACACACACTAAACTCTGCTGTTCCCACTTCTGCTAGATGTGACTCACTCGGGACTGAGTGACGCCGACTCAGCAAAAAAACAAAGCCAAAATTTAAAGGTACTGCCTCCGCATTTTGCAAATAAGAACCCAACGTCCCAGAGAAAGTGGAAGAGCCCACAGGCTCCGGAAAAGACAGCAAGAGTCTCAACGCAGTAGGAATGGAGAAGCAGAGATATGCTGAGACTAGTGCTCCTAAATCAATGCGTAGAAATGGGCTTCACTCGAACCCACACATTCGGAAGATTGCCCTGCTAAATTCATCTTTGTATCCTCGTTCAAGTTGAGGCTTCCTTCCTGCTTCCAGATTCTTAGGCTCATGTCTACTTGTAATGATACCTCGCTTGATTCAATTCTGACAAATGGTCCCACTGACCAGTTGGAGGCCTAACTTTCATCTTAACTAGTGGCTTGTCCTAGGGCAGCTACTAGGACTTTGAACGTTGTGCTGAATTTAATGTAGCAACTCTGCTAAGCCATTAATTATGTTATCTCACTACAAACGAGAGAACTTGCTGCAAGAGAAGAATTGAGGATGATTTGTTGAAGGTCACACGCAGCTTGTCGACAACAGATTCTGAGCTTGGGGCCAAACCGGTCTCTCTCTGGAAGCACTGGGACACATCAGGGGGACCCCCTGCTCCCAATGATGGGGGGAATAGGTAAACACACACCCAGAAAACCGTCCAGGCGGCAGAACAGGGAGCCACACTTGCCCGGCGCAGAGAACCCCCAGCCTAGACCCCGAGTGCGCGGGAGTTGTGGCGATGGAGAGCGGGGATCACGCCCTTGGCGGCTGGGGCACCACCAGCGCATCGATGGACCCCGTACAATTCCAGTGGCGGGGGATGCAGGTGGGGGGAGGGGATGGATCGCGGGGGCGGCGGGGGGAGCGGTTGTCCTGCAGCAGCTAGGGAGCTAAGGAGTAATTACACAGGAGCACTCGAGGCTGGGAAGGCGAGGCCCGCAGGTGCATCTCCCGGCAGCCCTCCCAGGTCTGGCGGAGAGCGAAGCGGCGGGCCGCGGAGGACCAGGGGCGGCGCCAAGGACGCGGGAGAGGGCGCTGCTCCGCGCCCCCGCGGC